ATTATGCCACTATCAAAAGAAACAGCCGAGAAACACTGTCAGCTGGGAAAGCCTTACAAAGCAATAGCGGTGAACCTTCCGAGGAGTGCCTGTTCTACCGAAATTACTCCAAGGGCACATCAACGACTCAACGAGGAGGTCACAAAAGAGCCGAGAACCATATCTAAATAACTGCTGGCTTCACTTGTCTCAGTTAGGGTCAGAGTTCATGATTTAACAATAGGAAAGATAATGGGCAAAAATGGCATCCATGGGAGAGTTCAATTTGACACTGCTGACCAAAAGAACACAAAGGCCTCATATTTGCCAAAAAACATCTTGACGATCCCCAAGACTTTTGGGAAAATATTCTGTAGCCTGACGAGACAACAGCTGAACTTTTTGGAAGGTTCAAGTCCCGTTAGATCTGGTCTAAAGCTAACACAGCATTTCATAAAAAGTACATCATACCAGCAGTCAAGCATGGTGGTGGTAGTGCGATGGTCTGGGATGTTCTGGGGCTGCTTTGCTGCTTCGGGACTTTGATGGTTTTCCATAAGGGTTAGGGTTAGGGGTTAGGCTTGCCCTTTATGGAACCATGAATTCTGCTCTCTGCCAGGAAGTCCTGAAGGAGTATTTCCACCCATCAGTTTGTGTCCTGAAGCTCAAGAGCACTTAAAAAAGACAGCAGCAAGTCCACTTTTTGAATGGTTCAAAAAGTGGCCTAATCAAGGTCTTTGACTCAAATCCAGTTCAGATTTTTTGGCATGACCTTAAACAGGCCATTCACACTTAAACCTTCCCAATGTGGCTGAATTAAAACAATTCTGCAAAGAAGAGTGAGCTAAAATTCCACAGCAGTATGAAAGACTCATTGCCAGGTATTGCAAACATATTATTCAAGTTCCTGCTGCCTAGGGTGAAACAAGGGTTCACAGGGGCTAATTTTCACATAGGGACAGGTAGGTTTGAATAGATTTTTTTCCCCTTAATAACTGAAATCATCATTCAAATACTGCATTTTGTGTTTACCCTGGTTATCTTTGACTAATATTAAAATTTGATTGGTCAGAGGGCCCAGTGGCACCAGTGTCCAGCAGTCTCACCTCTGTCAGTGCACCCCAGGGCAGCTGTGGCTACAATGTAGCTTGCCATCACCAGTGTGTGAATGTGTGTGTGAATGTAGTGTAAAGCGCTTTGGGGTCCTTAGGGACTAAGTAAAAGCGCTATACAAATGCAGGCCATTTACCATTTACCATTTGTTTGAGCTAAAAACAAAACAAAACAACAAAATCAGGCAAATACTTTTTCCACAACACTCCGTGTGTCTGTGTTTAACATACTTACTACAGTTGTTAGTGTTGTTGCCATTTTCTTTAAAATACAATTTTTATTGTTTGAGCTTTTTGTTTTTTACTAAAAAAAGAAGAAGAAGAAAAAAAACAGTTGCCACCTGTTCATCATTGGACGCAGATGGTACAAGCCTGGTGAAGGGACCATTTTCTTTACCGGCACTACTATTGTATCATGCCAGCAAAGAGGCTAGCACACACAAACACACAAAAACCGCAGTGATAATATTAGACATACAAGTTTCTTCAGACAAGCTGGGTAGGCATGGGAGATTTGAAAGGTATGTTTGGTCCATATTTGAGTGTGGTTTGCTGTTCAGAGAGCTTTGAACTCACATAAGGGTAGTTGCGTCTGTCTGTGTGCGTGCTGTGTTTGTTTTGGTAAGTGAGCGTTTGTGTGCGAGCGAGGATACCTTTAAGGCAGATACATGTTTCGAGCATGTGGGCGAAAGACTCTCTGGGAGTTTTGTTGTTTGTCTGTGTGTGAGAGCGAGAGAGAGAGAGAGGGGGAGAGAGATAGAGATAGGGGGAGTGAGGGTTGATGACATTAGTAGCCTCCATCATGGCAGCAGCACCTGACAGATTGCGTGTACTGTACTGAGCACACTTCCTCACCACTGCAACCTCCCTGCCCCCACCTCCTCAACCCGACCCCCACCAACATCCTCTCCTGCCAGGGCACAGAAGGCTAATGCACTCCACCTCGCCACAGGGGCCCGGGGGGCAAGCACATATGTGTGCGTATGCGTGTTTTCGATAGTGGAGCCACTCTGCGCTTACAGTATCACGCAAATCTAAATGGTTTTGTTGAGATGGCTCAGTCAGTCAGTTTCACTTCCCCCTCACTAAACACACAAGCACATACGCACATCCAAAACAAACAAGCAAACACTATCCTTCCTCTCACACTACCCAAAGGGTATCTCAGTGCCAGCAACAATGATGCAACCTGACACAAGAGAATGCCAGTAAAGTACAGTATTTCTCCACATGCAAAATAAACAAAACAAATGGTTTTAAATGCCGACCAAAGGCAACACAGCTCATATTACTGAGGAACAGCAGGAAGCTCTCCGTTCCTGTATATCATAAAGCAAGTGGCAACACTAACCTATTGCTAACCATTCCTATCATCTGGGGGGCAACGGTCAGTATTTTGGGGCTTTCAGTCGAGGCTTCTTGGTGTGTTCATACAGTACTTGTCAGTAGAAGTCGGACCACAAACAGACTACTGCTGAAACCCAGAAAATCTCCAGTCTCACAAATCTTGTTACTTGTGTCAGATATGTGCTCATAAAGATTATTAAGCAAATGACACTGGTTTCTGTCATGTTATAATCAAACATATTGACATTAAAAGCAGTCATTAAGTTTAATGTGCCTCATTATAAATGACCTATCAAACAGAGCAGTTTCTCCTTGTTTAATTGATTCAGTTATGCAGAGAAAATGTTTAACAAGAGGAGTCCAAAATTGCATACGGCTGCCAAGGCAGTAAATTAACCTTCATGGCATGCATCAGTTGAGCCTCTGGATCCAAAAGGATGTCACCTCTGTGATATTTACTTGTCTCTCCCATTTTTTTTCTCTATTAAATATATTTGTCTGCAAAGTTATGATTTGAAAAGCAACAAATGCTTTCTGGATTCCTGCATTCTGATGGGCTCCAAAAGTCACTTCTGACTTGGGCCAAGCCCCGGGTCAAAACTTTTTGAATAATTGTGCCCACAAACAAACAGACAAAGCAAACTGCTCACACCCCCCTCATTTTGCATGGAGGTAATAACGTGAATCACTGAGTTGAGGGGGGGTTCTAACAGCGCTGTAGCTACACTAAAGATCAATGCTTGGCTTGTGATACTGAGGTTTTTTTCATTTGTGTAGGTATTTGCTTGCAGAGGGTAAAGACCTTTTTTTTTCAAATTTTAAGTACATTGTAACTGAGCTGGAGCTACTGCACAGTGAAAAAACAGGCCAGATTTTAGAGGAAAATATAATCTGGCTTTGCAGGCAGCACTTAAATATGCACATCATCTTCTTATCACACTTTAAGAGAAATGTTACCTGGCAAGTGGTCCCAAATGACCTCTTTTATACAAGTAACAAACAAACTCTACCATTAGTTGACCAACTCGCTCTAAGCACTACATCAGTTAAAAATCACCACAACCTCATTTAAAGAAGACTATAAATTTTAAGATCATGGGTAAATCTGTGTTCTTTTTGAACTTTTCCAGGTCCACCATGAATTTGTGAGGAACATCGAGAACACATCAGTTGAGAGCTTAATCCAGAAACTGGCTGAAAGCAAAGGAACGGGCAAAGAGAGACCAGGTAAGCCGCCGGGGTCCTGTATGTTTTATTTAGAGTAATTAATATTTTTCAGTGTCTGTACTGTGTGTTAAGAAATTGTTGCCATGGGGTATGGGGGGCTTCTTTCTGACCCAGGCTTGTGGAGAGGGGAGGGGTATATAGAGAGGGGCAATTAGTGGTAGGAGAGAGGGCCATCAGAGTCAATCACAGTAATCTGCTGTAAAGGTAGGCAGGCTTGGCATTCCAGTAAGCATGTGACACACCGGGGGCTTTGCTGTGTTCACAGGCTAAGCAGGCATAACCAACTTCTTCAGGAGGTCAGGGCTCAACAATAACTCTTGTGTAAACTTTGCCATGCCACAATAATCAAGGGAAAACTCCACAGACACTTTTGGTTCCGCTCCCTTACCTCCCTCTCATTCACGCACACGCACTCATTCCCTTATCTCCTTGGTCGATATTTTCCTTCTTTTACAGCGTCTCTGACGTATTGTTTTTTTTCTGGCATTAGCCTCTGTAGTCTCATCATGCAACATAGCTCAAAACCCAGTCTGCAATATTACAAGCTGCCCTTGTGCACTTGTACTACATCACGTCAGGTCACAGGCGCAGAGGGGTCACCTCTGCTGTGTTTGTGTGTACACAAACGGTGACCCCCTGTGTCCAGACGCTGCATCTAAGAAGTGGTGGCCTTCATTTGTTTGGACAGCAGTATTAATTGACGCTTAAAAAAAACGGTCAGAAAATTCCTTCCCCGTATCAAACGCGTTCATTAGGAATTGCTCACCAGCCCTGGCCCTGTCAGAAAAATAACCCGTCTGTCCCCGTGATGAAATAGCTGAACGGATGGCCGGTCTGGAGCCTTTAGAGAGAGAGAGAGAGGTTGAATAAACTTTCTATTGCGGAAACAATCCCAAAGTGACACGCTGCGAGGCAGGGGGGGTCGGCGTGTTCAACGATATCCAACTGAGCTGTCAACTGGCGGCGGGCCAGACACGCAAACCACTCCACCCCTCTCTCTGGCTCCCAGTTGCCATGTGAAGCATATGCAATTTGAAAAAAGAAAAAAAAATCCATCTTCCTCTCATGCGTGACTGCATGCTTCCCTCACAGAGAGTAGAAAGAAAAGAAACATCTTCCCCTGTATAAACAAAGTCGTCTGTCTGTTTAGGAGATGCTTAAACAGTTCCTAATGTCTGTCCAGATTTAGGTAATATTCATGCATCTGGTGTTTAGACATTTTCGGCTGTTTGTGTGCATAAATATTGTCAGATGGGATCGCAGGATGCCGGTGGCAAAGAATTCCTGCTCTGCTTGGGTCTCATGCAGATTCCTACAGCCTTTTTTTTTTTAAACATCCCGATGGCACAGGGTAATCTTTCAACCCCGTCCACTACTTTTGTTTGACTATTTTTACCACTGATGGGTAAATAAACACTGATGTCATAAGTTAATGATGTGTTTCTTCTTCTTCTCCTTATAAAAAAAAACTCAAAAAAGCAACACTCGACATATATTCACATGTTCTTAAAGCTGATTGAACAGGGATGATGAAATTATCTCTCGCCTCCTTCTGTGAGTCTTCTTGAATGAGCACGCCAGGGCTGCTTTGATTGGCACGAAGCTCTCACTCACTCAAAACCCACAACAGCCTCCCGCCGCCGCTGTGTGTTTGCCAGCAGTGCCGAAGCCCGATATTGTACAGTAGAGTAGATCGGTCATCGGTGAGCTTTATCCACTCCACTTGCTCGCATGCCTCTCGTGACTCGCCGCTTCCCTGCGCTTCAGTCGGCATCGCACACTCAGAACAATGCGTCGATTCTGCTCGTGACTGGCCTCTTCTTGGTGGTGGTGGGGGGCAGGGGACTGCATTGGACTGCTGCTGTGTATATTTTGAGTTAAAATATCATTAGCTTTGTTGTTTTCAGGTCAAGCCCTGTTAGTGTATTGCAGATTTCGCCGGAGGGTCCTGCCCCATCTTTCTTTCTCTGTATATCTTTCTGTGCCTCCTGTTAATCTTGTGTACACTCTTAAGCTTTCTAGGTATGTGCAGTATATCACCCATTTCTTTCATGTCACACATTTTAAGAGCTAATAGTCATAGTCACATTGCCAATTAAAACCATTAATTAACCACTGTTTGTTTAATTGTGTACCTAAGAAGGCGTGAGTCTTTTAAATGGATTGTAACTACACACGAATACAGAGGCACGCACCGCCTGATCTAGTGGATTTGGCTGATTGACACGTACACGCATTGCATGCCTTACTTCTCATTTGTGTGTGTGTGAGTGCCTACTCGGCGTGACAATCAAAGTGCAGGGCCTTAGAGGCAAATATGCATAATTGACGAGGAGTAAATTAGGCGTAAACGTTGTTGTTTTTTGTTTTCTCATCATTTAAATGACGTGTCCAAATAGCCAAAAACTATTTGGTTTTTTGTTGCTGTTGTTTTTGTCCATATAAATTCATGGCTGGTTTCACTCCAAATGATGCACTGATCAATTGCTGGAACCGATTTAAGGATTTGCCTGTTAGCCAAGGATGTTTCAGCGATTTCAGTCGATCATGTTTGTTTGTTTATGGTTTGTTCTTTCTCTCGCCGTTTTCTACATGTGGGAGTGAAGGAGAAAAGGGCGTTACTTAAAGCTCAAGAGCAGATTTGTCTGAGTGTCTTTAAACACTTCAGCGCATGTAATCTTGCACTCGCTTGTCTTTTTCGTAGTAGGGTTTAGTAACTGTGCGTGTGTCACGCGGCCGGGTTTAGTTTCACCGCAGTTTAGCCTTCACACCTGCCGCTAGCTGAAAATACCCGAGCTCCTGCAAGGATTTGGAATTGGTTCATGGTTGCGCTGAGGTTTTGTGCTTAGAAGCGTCTCTCTGTGAGGAAGATTATGTGACGGTGTAGAGTGGGGCTTCGTGTCAACCAGGAGGGATTGTGTCATCTCTGTAAGGGCCACCAGACACACAGTTGACTCTGCTATTGACCCTGTCTGCCCTCTGGGAGCAGCCTAGCTTTGTTTGTATACACTCGCTGCATTGCACGGCAGACTGCGTGTGTGTGTGTGTGTGTGATCATTGCGTGATTCACATTCACAACGTTCACAGCAGTGGGTCATTGACCCTTTGTATGTCAAATGAACCTAAATGATTTTTTTTTTTTTTTGGTCTCATTAGGACCCATTGAGTTTGAGGAGTGCAATGTAGCTATTGCTGCTGAAGGTAAGCCTTTTTGTAAAAGAAGAAACACATTTGAGGGACACAAATATTAAATATGTCTGAAAACTGATGCTTTTTAAATAAATCTGTGGTTAAAGCTCTTCATTTTTTTAATATGTATTAAGGAGCCAAACCCAGAAGAAGAAAACTATTAATCCCAGGTCGGAGGAAAGACAAGGACACAGACTCTACGTGAGTAGAGACTCGTATTTCCAGTCCACAGCACAATTTATGCATCTTCACTCATCTTCACTTCTTAGTCATGATCACGTGACCATTTGTGTCTTCCAGGGAGTCGACAGAAGTCGAGGCTGCTGTGAGTATAACTTTCACCGACGCAGACCGCGACTATAATCTTTGAGTTTCACCCTGTTGTGTTATCTTGATTTCAGACAGCAGGAGGTGGAAAACATCTTCGTTCGTTTATCGCCATGTTCTGTTTTAATGATTTTCCGGTCACTTTCTCCATCTCTCTGTTCCCGTTCGTTTCGTTTTTTGTGGATGTGCTTGTTCACGTATTCATGTATTCATCCCTCTCTCTGCTTGTAGAACACCGCCAATGGTGCTCCGCCTGGATACTTTGCAGACATCCAGAATGCTGTAAGCAAGCTATTAACGTCACTCTTACACATAGTGTCTCTTTCTAACACATGCGCAGCAAATATTCATACCGACATAGATAATGCATTTCATTAAAAATCTTAATATCCTATAAAACTTGTCCCTAATGGTATAAGGTGTTGTGCGATTCCGCTGAATTTACAGGGCTCTCAAATTTGGTTGTGTAGGATGAGATAGTGAAAAATCACCATAATATCACCCCTTTAACCCGGTCTTTATTTGTTTTAGGTTGTTTTATGTATCTATAAATATGTGTACCGATTTTCATTTGTAGTATATTTTTTATTATTTAAAGCCTCAACATGAATGATTGTACCCATTCATTTACAACAAATTTATATCTAAACAAAAACACCATTTTAGACTTAATTGGAATTTTTTGCCTTTTGAAGTTAGGTATTAATCAACCTTCTTTTTAAAATGTATCATTTACAATTTAACATGAAGTTTTAGCAATTTTCTGAACAAATTGACAAAATAAAGTTATTTTTATCTAGTTTGAAATGAGCAGCATAAAGAAAAGATGCGTTAACAAAGGATTTCATCCTGTAAATTTAACTTTGTGTTAACTCAAAATAAATCGTGGAAGAAAGGAAAATCGTATCCTGCTTGTGTTTTTGCAGAATGTTCCTCAAGTTGATGAAGAGGGTTTCTGCATCAGACCAGAAGTAAATGAAAACGATATCCTTTTTTGTTTGTCTCAGCGCCAGGCTCGCTTGTTAGGCACGTTGGAGTTGTTGAGGTTTTTTTTAAACAAGGCTAAATGAAACTCAGATTTATGCCCATGTTTCTGATCTGAGGTTGTTGCCATTATCCTCCTTAACTTCTCTGCTCACATGCCAAAGAGAATTCCTTCTACTCATCCAGCGACTCGGAGGACGAAGACGAACCCAGGAAGTTCCACGTGCAGATCAAGCCCGTTCAGCCAAACAACGGCGTTCATCAGAACCAAGCCAACATCGATGAGCTCAAGGCCTCCATTGGAAACATCATCCTGTCGCCTTCAACCTCGGTACGGCTCGTGACACTCTGATAGCACACCAAATAGTAAAATCCTCAAAGATAAACTTGTTGCTACCTTGCCCTGCTGCAGAAGGAGGCTACTCTGCTTGTGTAACACTAGAGGGCATCACGAGAATGTAAAAACATCCCCTCGTAGGGCAGATTAAACTGCCATTTATCAAAGGTGTTTCCCATTGGTTACTCTTTCTTGAAGCTATTATTTTTACATTGAAAAGCTTTATGTTTATTTTACATGCTATATTGTTTTCTTATTCATTGAGGTTCATGTTTGTGCAATTTTTTCTTTTTCTCTTTTTCTTAGAATGTAGATTAATATCAAGCAACATTAGGATCACTTATTCTTTCATCTTCTTTTTTCAAATATTAAGAACTCAGAAACAATTTTTGAGTTAAGTGTGTGATGTTGCTGTTTCTTACTCTCGCGCGCGCACACACACACACTCTCAGCTCTTTAGGGAATGTTTTACAGCAATGCTCTGCAGTCTGCACACACACACGATCTGTGACCTCAGTCATGGAGCTCTCCATTCAACTCCTTGTCCCTCATCATCTCTCAGTCTCTGAATCACTCTCTGGCGCTCCATGAAAATAGCCACTGTCGTTAAACTTTAAAACCACTACGGCTTGTGTGCAAACGCACAGCCTGTGTGCACTGAGCTGCTGTTGTTAATAGTGTTGTGGAGCGGCCGAGAGGGGCACGCTCAGTGTTGCTAAGGGGGTCTAGTGGGTTTCACCCGCCTCGCTCCCTGGCTGCACCATTAACCGATTGTCACGGCATCCTCTTTCCCAACTTTGGCCGTCTCTCTCAGCCTCAGCTCTCATTGCTTTTCCTCCTCGCCATTTGCGTCGTATCTCACTCTGTTTTTCCCCCCTCTCGTTTCTTTCTTTGGTTTTAGTCTTTGGGTTTTATTGAAGCCCATTTATTCTAGACAGGACTCTGTTGTGGTTATTTATGAATACTTTATGGGGTTCGTTACGTAGTTTTGACAAATGTTCCCCCCCCCCCCACCGACATTAATTATAAAGATAACTTTCAAGCTTACAGAGATGTTTTTTCTATTAAGTGCAAAAAAATAAATAATTTCGATTGGGAGTTTTAACCTTAAACCTTGTCTGTCACCGATTTGTAGTTAAACCCACCATTACATTCTCGTCTCTGTCACTACTGATTTGAATTGAAATACCAGCGTAGTCTTTAGATTGTATATGCCCTCCTTTTGTTTATTTTCTGCTCCCTCTGCCTATTTTATATTTACACAAAGCTGAAAACATATACTCCATCCAAGATGATGACAAACATTGCATCATCTGGTGTGAATTATTGATAGATTTTTTTCCCCCATCAGTGCTCATTTTTCTGTCTTTTTTTTTTCTCATTTCTCCTCCTGTTTCGTTTCCCCTCCACGGTGTTCCCTTTATTGAAATAGCAATGGAAGTCGTGTGTGTGTGTGTGTGTGTGTGTGTGGCCAGCAATAGCCATAATTGAACCCATTTGCCGCTTAGCGCCTGTGGGACTAAACCCTGGCCTCGCAGCTCAACGGCAGTTAAATGCTTTTGCTATGTTCCTTAAACCCATTTTGTTTCTTTTTTTTTGTCTCCCCCGTCTCCAACCTGACCTTTATTCTTGTAAGAAATAAATTCTTCGCCGAAAGTGTTGGACCTGAAGAGTGCATCTCACATAGGTTGTGTTAACGCAGTTGGACCCGGGAAGATTTATGTCGCAGGAAAAGGAGAAAAAAAAAGAATCTGTAAAGGAAGCTGGTGAAGAGTTTGAGGCACGCTCTGTGCTGTCTCTGACTGATCGTTATATGGGATTACGTACACGGTTTTGTGCTGCTGAATTTTTCACCCTAGGTTTAATGTCTGGTATGTGTGAGTCGAGAGTAGTCCTGTGATTTACTATCTTGAACTCTAAGTGGAAAAAATTCCCTTTGCCATTGGGAATAATTAATAATACAATTTTGACCAGTGTTAACACGTATTTTAATAGGTATTTGCTTTTTTTTTTTTAAATCCCCAGAGAAAGTTAGGGATCCATTCAGCACCGCATTGCACTTTGTAGATCAATTCTCCCTTCGTGAAGTCCAGTTTGAAGAGCGCGAACACCTCTTTCTTGTCCTTTTTGTCCTTTTGTTAACAAGTAAACAAAGTTCTGACATGTATCGGTTAGTAATTGGCTTTGGGATATATGCATCTTTGATTAATCATTGTCTGTTTTTGCTTTCAGGGACAGATGCGGAGGAACCAGTCCAGTGAGTATTTTTTTCTTCCAGACCTTTTCTTTATCTGTGTTGCTACATGACTGTGAAGGATGAAGTGGAGGGGGGCTCGACTGCACAACTCCTCGACCACGTTTTTCCTGGCCCGGGTTGTTTTTAAAGGGGTTGTCTTTAAGAGGGAAAATCCAGAAATCTAGCCAAAACCAACACATCCCGAGAAAAAGTAAATAACTGTTCCCTTCTATAAATCTGAGCTCGGGGGATATTTCCCTCCAATGGTACAAATAAGATTAATTGCTTAATTAACTGTTTATGTTTGGACATGTCAGAAATGATCTTTTCCCTTCTGCAAGCTGGCACAGTTGTGGGAGTTTTGCTGAATTTGTGTATGTCCCCAAGAGCTTATGAAAACGTGTTTGTTGTACTCCACGAGGTCTTTGATAAAAGAAGCGTAAAAGCACTGATTATTCACCCAGAAAGTTTTTTTAATCTTCTTTTTATCTTGTTTTTCTTTTTATTACTTTGTTTTTATAGTCAGTGTTTGTATGAGACTTAATGATAATCCCATTCGCTTTCTGCAACCCACACACTGATAGCATTTACATCAATTTGCAAAAATTAGTAGCATTGATAGATGTATACTTTACATGCGCTCAGGGATCACAGGAGTGTCTACAGTAAGGTCTAAGACTAAGGGCTTCGGTGAGTATTTTTTCACTACAGTAGTTGGCCTGCAACCCTTCCTTCCCCTCCACTTTTAAAATGTCTTCCACAGCCCTCATCGCTGTCCCTTCCTGGGAGCCTTTCATACAGCTTCTGAAGCCAGCTGACCCCCCAGCTAACATCACTGACTCACTGAAAACTTTCAGTTTCTGAATTTGAAGGACTTAAATACACGTGTGGTTTTAAATCTGGGTCCTCTCAGCAGTACCTTTTTACTTCTAGTGCTTGAAGTGCTGCTTCACGTCGCTTATATGGATCTTTTCAATGTAAGGCAGCGCTTTAAAGCAGGGGAACAAAAGAACAGGGCATTTCCTGATTAGTTGCTTCATCCCTTGTTTTAAAGTGGTACCACCATATTGAACGTACAGCATAACCTTCTGTGTTAACTCTTTTGCAGTATTTGGATGAAAGTTCAAAAAAACATTTTACAAAGCATAAATAAGAAAATTAAACACCTGTATCTAACCTTACTGCAAATATATATATTTTCAGTGGTACTGTAGGTGGTGGTTTAATTTTTTTTTTTTAATGGGGAAAAAATCTGGTTTAAGGTTTAATTATCAAATATCTTTTTTTAAATTTGATTTTGAGTAACTTGCTGTGTATTTGCTGTCACCACTCTGTTAAGAACTGCGGGCCTGACTTTTCTGTTTGTTTTTCTCTTGCTTCAGGTGATGAGCTAGGAAAACCCAGAGTGCCAACATCATTCGAGTGAGTACTGGAGTAAAACATCAAACCTTTGCCTGCTCAGTGCCAATGATCATATTTTTCTTTATGTTTGCGCCGTCTGTGAACATTTCAGTTATTATTATTATTACCTCTGCCAAGGAGGTTATGTTTTTGGTAGCATTTATGTCTGTGTCATTCTGTCTGTAAACACAATAGGTCGAAAAGTGTTAAAGGAACTATTGTAAAACTTTTTAACAGTGTAGAGTGGAGTGATGTTAACCATCCACTGAAAGTTGGCTTACATACACCAAAAGGTCAACTTGACAAAAAGAAACTATGCTTCTTACAAGTGTAGTGTGCAAATAGAAAGTACCATGCAAAGATTTCAAATATCACGTCACAGTTGACCTCTAACCTCTCCTTCAAGGTCAGTAGATTGTGATCTGAAGATCAAAGTGATAAATAATGCTATATAGACCTATTTAAAATCTGTCATGCTGCTCTTATCTGATTTTTACCGCACTACAAAAGAACAAAGAAAACAAAATGAACATATCCAAAATAAAATACTATTCCCTTAAAAGTAAACACTGCCCAGAGAGAGAGCTGCATTGGTGGAGGTTTCGCTCTCTCTGAGTGCTGCTTGTTTTATACTGAATCCAAATGTGCTGCTTTATATTAGAAAGGTGACGTCCGTTTATTTGACTTTCTCTTTCTCTCGTAACTACGGCAGGCTGACTAACAACGACCTTCTGTCTCTGGATCCTTTAAGTCCAGCTCAGGCCATCAGATCTTCCTCCGCTGTGTCATCATCGGCAGGTAACCCACAGACAGTTTGTGTTTGAAATGATTTGTTACAGCAGAAGCATATAATTAAAGTTGATCACTTCCTGCAAATATTAAATTACAGAAACTGGGTAATAGTGAGTGGCAAACGAGTAGTGATGGAACAGTTGTTCCAGTGGTTGACTGTCCAGCGGGCACCGTGTGCGCTGGGATCTGGCTTCATATGACTATCACTGCCTTATTTCCATAATAAAAAATAAAACATATTATCCATTTATTTATAACAAAGGTAAAAAAGTTGCAGTTGACTGTTATTTCAATTAGAGAAATGCCAATCCTCTTAGTAAAACTGCATGCAATTAACCCAGGGCCTGCTGCAGACTGAGAATGCTTTTCAAATATTACCTCTGGTTACATGAAAATCTGAGTAGTCTAACTTCAACAAGCAGCTATGCTACAACAGTTCAGGTTTTTACTTATTAACTTGTCACTCAGTTTTTTCTTCTGAGCTACTTAATTTGAAGCCTCTCCTTTAGTTTAGTCCGGAAACAAAAGCCTAAAATTACCAAATTATTAGAGTTTGTAGGCTTTTTCCCCACTTTGCATTTTCCCGGTGTCATTTTTCACCATTTTCTACAAATCAAACAGTCACTCCACCCTTCCGCAAGAAATTTGAGTGCATTTAACATCACCACATTCACCAGCATTTAGCTTGTTTCTCATGGATTTACATGTGCAACACCAATGTTTAAAGAGAGTGACATTGTCATTGACCCATTGCCTAGGTTAAGCATAATCCACAGTTAATTGGCACCTAGTTGGGGTCAAAGGGTCAGCTATAAAGCTCGCTGGCACGTATGTTGTCAAACAGAATCTTGTTACTGTCAAAGGTCTTGGCTTTAAAGTCAAAATAGCATCAAAAAGTGCCCTGATTAAGATACACTGACGGGAATTAAATCCCAGCTTTCAGCATGTTAAATCTCTGTTTATACACTGCAGCGGTATTACCAACCCCATATGCACACATCACACATCAAACAAGTGTAATCTGAGAAGTGTTTAAAGGGTTTTATTTTATTTTTTTTAATGTAAATATATATGGCACGTGTCTGTTTATTTTGTGGTCATGGATTTTATTGTGTTTATAGTTTTTGTCCATTTACTTTCTCCTTTTATTGTTTCATTATAATGTTATTCTTTACATTTTTCTTTTAAATGACTTGCTTTATTGTTGGCTTGATTATTTTCACCTGTTCTTGTCAGACCTTGCCTCTATCTTCCTTTCAAACCCTCCATCTCCACCTTTTCTGGTGAATGACTCAGACTCAGATGTCTTTCTGCCAGAGACATCAGGTAAAGTTTGTTTGCCCTGTTCATCAGAGAGAAGCTGAAATTAATTTTTTTTTCAAACAGCACCAGACATCAACCGCTTTTCTTTTTCTTTTTGCATGGCATATATCTTTATATAAGGGCTTTTTTTTCATTTCATCTTAACTAAACCTTGGAGTGCATTCTACTTCACATGTGACTCATGCTGCCTATGATAATCAGGATGTGTTTCCATAAGCTTATCTAAAATCAGGGTTACCACCTGGCACATTTATTGCTAATAAGAGGATATGTTTTAGTTTCAAATATGTGTGGTATTTCTGTAAGAATGCGACAACAGGCTAGGCTACAGACTGTGGATACACAGAGTTTCTGTGTAACTAAAGCTCTTTGATAGCTATAGTGAATATTCACAGTCCTGTTAGTGCTACACTGAAGTGAATGTAACAATAGCCAGTAGATTGTCTTCTCGTAATTGAAATTTACTCAGATTTTAAGCAACTGTAAATAGATGTACAGTGGCTTGCAAAAGTATTTGGCCCTCTTGAACTTTTCCACATTTTGTCACATTACAGCCGCAAACATGAATCAATTTTATTGGAATTCCACGTGAAAGACCAACACAAAGTGGTGTACACGTGAGAAGTGGAACGAAAATCAGACATGATTCCAAACATTTTTTACAAATAAATAACTGCAAAGTGGGGTGTGCGTTCAGCCCCCTTTGGTCTGAGTGCAGTCAGTTGCCCATAGACATTGCCTGATGAGTGCTAATGACTAAATAGAGAGCACCTGTGTGTAATCTAATGTCAGTACAAATACAGCTGCTCTGTGACGGCCTCAGAGGTTGTCTAAGAGAATATTGGGAGCAACAACACCATGAAGTCCAAAGAACACACCAGACAGGTCAGGGATAAAGTTATTGAGAAATTTAAAGCAGGCTTAGGCTACAAAAAGATTTCCCAAGCCTTGAACATCCCACGGAGCACTGTTCAAGCTATCATTCAGAAATGGAAGGAGTATGGCACAACTGTGAACCTACCGAGACAAGGCCGTCCACCTAAACTCACAGGTCGAACAAGGAGAGCGCTGATCAGAAATGCAGCCAAGAGGCCCATGGTGACTCTGGACGAGCTGCAGAGATCTACAGCTCAGGTGGGGGAATCTGTCCATAGGACAACTATTAGTCGTGCACTGCACAAAGTTGGCCTTTATGGAAGAGTGGCAAGAAGAAAGCCATTGTTAACACAAAACCTTTAGAAGTCCCGTTTGCAGTTTGCCACAAACATGTGGAAGAAGGTGCTCTGGTCAGATGAGACCAGAATGGAACTTTTTGGCCAAAATGCAAAACGCTATGTGTGGCGGAAAACTAACACTGCACATCGCTCTGAACACACCATCCTCACTGTCAAATATGGTGGTGGCAGCATCATGCTCTGGGGGGGCTTCTCTTCAGCAGGGACAGGGAAGCTGGTCAGAGTTAATGGGAAGATGGATGGAGCCAAATACAGGGCAATCTTGGAAGAAAACCTCTTGGAGTCTGCAAAAGACTTGAGACTGGGGCGGAGGTTCACCTTCCAGCAGGACAACGACCCTAAACATAAAGCCAGGGCAACAATGGAATGATTTAAAACAAAACATGTCCATGTGTTAGTCAAAGTCCAGATCTAAATCCAATCAAGAATCTGTGGCAAGATCTAAAAACTGCTGTTCACAAACGCTGTCCATCTAATCTGACTGAGCTGGAGCTGTTTTGCAAAGAAGAATGGGCAAAGATTTCAGTCTCTACATGTGCAAAGCTGGTAGAGACAGACCCTACAAGACTGGCAGCTGTAATTGCAGCAAAAGGTGGTTCTACAAAGTATTGACTCAGGGGGCTGAATAATTACGCACACCCCACTTTTCAGTTATTTATTTGTAAAAAATGTTTGGAATCATGTCTGATTTTCGTTCCACTTCTCACGTGTACACCACTTTGTATTTGTCTTTCACATGGAATTCCAATAAAATTGATTCATGTTTGTGGCTGTAATGTGACAAAATGTGGGAAAGTTCAAGGGGGCCGAATACTTTTGCAAACCACTGTAATTCTTTCTTTTTTTTCCAGACTTTCTTTACTTTAAAACCTGGATGCAAAAAAAAAAAAAGACATTGGAGTCATAAAAAACAGCTTTCATATATTCTCACATTTACAATTTACAGTCCTCAAAAAATAGACATTTTACTGCCTGGTTGTTCTTCCACTGTAATTCTTAATATCAATTGTAGATGCTTTTCATGTCAACAAAAAGTCATGTATTAACTTGTGAAAGCAGATGAATCACTTCTTTTGTGGAGAAGAAAAGATATGCATTAACTTTCACAAGTTAATACGTTATGTGTCAAAAGATCGTTGAATTTAGAGACAGCATAAATTTAAATTGGTTACACTTTAAAATTTGTTTTTCATTTTGGATCATTAAAATCTTGGTATACCCACCGCTTTGTCGGCAGCAGCACATCATGCCAGGTTAGAAAAATCGAGAGTTGTGCAACCAGCTGAAATGGTAGCTTGTGAAAGCCGGTGTAACATTATTTAATGTTAACTTAACTGTTGTATGGTGCAACTCGCCAGGGACCACACAGCAGGCATAAAAGCGTCGTTGTGCTACAGTCACACTATGGAAAACAGTGATAGGAGGCTGTGGCATGACCAAAATTTATGGCAAGATGACACAGGAGCTTTGCAACCTTAATTTTATATAAGAATGTAACCAGAATACAACTAACTATCAGCCGGTTAAGCTGAGTCCCCCATTCCAATGAGACAGGCAACAGCAACAAAAACCTCAATGAAATTGCTGTGCAACCCCCGATTTTTGCTTGTTGCAAGAAAGTTGTTTTTCTTCTTACTCCTGGGTGTCTGAGCCGTTACACAAAATAAGTCTCTCCGTATTCTTTGCTGTATGGTTAAACAATCATATACAGGTACAATGACAGTGCCAAAGTGGTCTCATTAACATGATGCAAAGTTAAGATTTATTTCAGGAACAAGATTGCATCACAAAACAGCCAAATGTTCAGTCAGGGCCTCTATAGTCAAAACAACCTACTTATTTCCACCAGCAGTAATTTATTTGGTGTTTGACTCTGTCCTGAGACCTCCCCACACATCCAGGCACTTACATCTGAAGTTGGAGGTGAAGAGAGCAGCAAGGCTACAGTACAGCACAGAAAAGGAGACAATGACATCAGAGCTTGACACTGATGAAGTCAGACACAGCATGAAAGGAGGAGCTGGGGTCAGGGTGGGTTGCAAAGCAGCTCGGAGTGTGCATCATGGTAAAGCAGCTTATACAGAGTGTCGTAAATGAGATTTGCCAGTTGGATGCTGATTGGTATCAGCTGAGCCATCAGCTGATGTGGGCCGGGATTGTGGTCAGCTAAGCCTGACTTAATGTCCAACGTGAACTAATGATATGCTCAGTGTGTCTGATTAGTCAGTCGACAGAAAAAACAGTTAAAAAAACGTTAAAAATTTGCTCAATTTCAAGTTATTGTTCAGATTGCAATGCATAGATAATGTCCCCATTCTCAGCTGATTGACTTGATGCTACTTTGAACACATACTAAATCATGCT